CTGTTAGCGCGTGGGTTTTTCCCTCGCGAAGTTCATCACCTCGTTGCTCGCGCTTGTAAATGCCTTCCCGCGAGTGTCGCCTCGCGCGGTGTTCGCAGCAAGGCAGACGCACCGATCCTCCTCATCAATCGCAAATTTCGCCGTCGAATTTCTACAGTCGTGTATGTGCTGATACACACACACACGCGCGCACACACACGCGCGCGCACGCACACGCGCGCGCACGCACGCACGCACGCACGCACGCGCACATGCACACACACACACACACACACACGCACCATCCATGCACTGCACGTCGTCATGAAAGAGTCTACATTCAAAAGTATAAATATAATTGGGCTGTTTTACACTCTATCTTATTACGTCACAAGTGACCTTATCATTACCTATATAATTGTTGCTTTTTTGTTCGGTAAACGTACTTGGCGTGCCAGTTAATCGTAAGACCCGCTCGGGCCAATGTTCCCTGAGTCGCATACAGAACCAGAACTGCAACTGCAATTCCGCGACTATTCTGACTCCGGCTACCATTGTAATTACGACGGTGATTCTAACTATAACTGTAACTGCTATGGAACTGTAAATGTATCATTACTGTCTGTGTCAAATTGGGATTGCAATAGCAATTCGCGCTATCGCTGTCTATTGTGTTCTCGTATCTCCCCCTATACACTCTGGTGTACTAATGCAGGAATGTTAGGGTCTATGTCTCTCTGGGTACTGCCGGAACGTACCCTGGTACTATCTAATATGCCGGACCGTACCTCGCCTACTCCACTAACAAGTCTAGGGAGTCGCCTACGCCTACTCCCTAACCGTAACCCTAACCCTAACCCTAACCCTAACCATATCAGATAGTTACCAGGGTACGGTCCGGTATACCCAGGGTACGTTCCGGCAGTACCCAGGGAGACATAGACCCTATCAGCATTAGTGGAAGCTGTGCACATTTTGTGATTTTTTTAATAAAATATTATCGAAACTATACCTATCGCCGCTTTATATCGCTCGATATGAATTGACGAATTATTATCAGCTATCATCAATGCAGTGCGCGTGCACACGTAAGATATCAGCTCTGCCTATAGCGTGCTATGAATTCGAGAATTTATTTTCGAGGTGGGATTCGAACCCAGAATCAATGATTAGAAGTCCGATACTTTATCCTTTCGGCTACTGGGGCGTTATGGTCAAAGATCATGTACAATGTACATGATCTTTGTTATGCTTACAGAACATGATTGACACGTTCGAGATGTACGCACCGCCATCTATTGACGAATAGATATTTTTTAATTTTTAACTTTTCAACTTTAAAAGATTCTCTTAGACGTGGTGATTCTGAATATATCTTCAGTTTTCCGCTAGGCTACGTAGTTATCTAGTTGTACGAGTAGGCCTACACACAAAATCAGCTGAACAACTTTATATATATAGACAGGAGATATATGCATGGTATCACTAATGACTCACGTAATAGAAATAATAGAGATATTATACCACGCACAAGTGTCAACAGACATAATGTTAAAGAGGAAAATAGTAATAATTATAATATTTAGCCTACATGTGTGTTTGTGTGCGTGCGTGCACGCGTGTGTGCGTGCGTGAGCGCTTGTGTCAACCTGGAAAATAACCCGCTTTATAGTGTCAGTAGTGTCAAGCGTGCACAAGCGATATCAAGTTGCGTTGTACTACACCAACATCAGGTGCAAACACGTAAATCGTCGGCGATTGAGTTTTTTTAGGCGACGTGACACGGACCGACAACCAGTTCACCGGCCGATCGCTCCGTGTCGTGTTTGACTTTGTGATTACGCCGGGCGGGGCCAGAGCAATTTGCTGGGTTAACCGATCGCGGGGCGCCTTATATACGGGCCAGTATGTGTGTGCGGCGGGATACCGAAAACAGTGCTGAAGTTGGCTTTTACCTGCTGCTATATCAAACGCGTGCTATCCGCGCGCGCAGTCTTCTTTCGACAAAACGCAGTCGTCGTCCACGTCGTCGTCGTCGGCGGTGCGTGTGCGGGCGTAACTTATCCACGGAAAGACATGCTGGGCCGCGTGCAGACGCCTCTCCTGCTGTGCGGAGTGCTACTCTGCTGCTGCGCGGTAAGTTAGTGTGCTGCTGCTGCGGCTGCTTCAACTGCTATACAGCCGATAACGATGCGCAATCGATGATAATGGTTTATCAAATCATCTCGTGCACCGACGTTAAACGCAGCGTGTTCAAACTACCTGCAGTATATATATATATATATATATATATATAAGAAGTAGATAATAGGGAATATATATGACTGACTGCGTGTGCGTGCACGGAAGAAATTTTCAGACCACCTCATAAAATGTGCTCGTCGCATTCACTATTGCCATCTTTCTTTCACGTGACATAATATCAAGAGTATGAAAAGTACTATTAATAAACTGGTCCTATAATGTGAGGATGAAATTAATATGTGTTCTCGCGTTGCTAGGTAACATTGTTCATGGCATGGGGCTACAATGACAATTATAATGAGGATGCGTATGGAGGGTACGGTGTTATGCCGGACAGGGTAAGTTTGCCATGGCTTCCATTTTGCTAGATTTTAGCTATAAACAAGATAATGTGCGTAAGTGCGTGCATGCATACATGCGTTTGTCAGTATCTTCGAGCGTGTCAACATGTTCGTATGCCTGCGCGTGCGTGTACATGTGCCTGTGCGCTCGTCTGTACGTAGGAGCTACGTGCGTGCGGCCGTGTGTGCGTGCGTGCGTGCATGTGTGCTTGCGTGCGTGCGTGCGTATTCGCGTATTAGGGATAGTTATCTATTGTGACGTCCTTTAATTATGTCACCATGCAATGCATGAACGCAATTTCGTCGGATGACGCATCGTCTCACCTATACACATTTCCGCACTCGCGGCGCACACACACCACAGCCACACACACACACACACACACACACACACACACACACACACACACACACACACGCAAACGTCTGCTCGTGTACGTACGCACACGACCCGCACGCGCGCGCACACACGCACACGGACACGCACGCACGCGGCGCGCACATACCACACACACACGCAGTGAACACACACAACGACCACACACACACACACACACACACACACACACACACACACACACACACAATACTGACGCGATATATGATAATATGCGCGATAATAATGACGCATATCTTCTTTCCTTCAAGGCCTCGGCTATAGTAATCCCTTCCGCCGCCACGGCGGAGGCGCGAATGGGTTCGGAGGTTTCAGAGGCGTTCGAGGGCTGGGCGGCGGAGGAGGCGGCGGCCGCGGCAGCGGTAGCAGCGGTGCGTCGGGAGGAAGCTCTGGCGCGCACGGGGGAGGCACGGGAGGTGGTCACGGCTCCGGCTACGGCGCGGGCTCGGGCGGAGGACACGGCGGAGGATACGGCGGCGGACGTGGCGGTGGCTTCGGGGGCGGATTCGGCGGCAGCTTCGGCGGAGGTCACGGCGAAGCGGCGGGAGGCGGCAGCGGCGGCGGACACGGCGGCAACCAGGGCGGCGCGCACGGCGGCAGCGGCAACGGCGGTTTCTTCGGCCAGCGATTTGGCGGCTTCGCTGGATTCGGCGGCTTTAACGGCTACGGACGTGGCGGTAACGGCGGCGGCTATCATAAGTAAACGCGGCACGGCGAGAAAAAAATTGTCTGGGACGTAGCCTACGTGTTTGCGACGATTACATCGTTGAGCTGGGGCTTGTTACAGCAATTAGCACCTGTATGTCGGAGCCACAGAGCAGCGGGATTACAGGTGCGCGCAATAAATTCAGCGCCGCTGCAAATAAGCGTATATCTCGTAATGAAACGACTCGATCGCGACGGCGATTGAGCTTATATTTGCAATTATTCGCTGACGCACGAGTGGCGTAAGACTTGGGCGCTGGGCATTACATGGGTAACGGGGCCGCGCGTAAGCTCTGATAGCAAGGTCAATTCAGTTGCGACGTCATTTTGAAAATAATACGGGTAGTAGCAATATATATTAAAAGCAAATTATATCATATATATATATATATATATATATATATATATATATATATATATACATATATGTGTGTATGAATACAAACACGATTGTAATTGCTCTTAATAGTGCTGCATGCATTGTTGCCCTAGCCAGGGCCAGTGAAATAAAAATAAATTGCGTGGCGATTCAATAATTGTATCAGGAGTTTGCAAGGTTAATTGTATTTTGTTTTCTGTGGGAAATTGATATTTTGCTGTATTCGGCATACTACATTGGTCGGCTGTTATGTTCTACTCACCGCAATTTATATCGTCAACTTCAAGATCTTGTGTGATATTACGTGAGTTTTGCTGATTTAATAATATTACCGTTAAAAATATTGATTACTGATTGATTATTTAATATTAAACAGTGCATGTTTGTGTATGTTTTGAAGAATAAAAATTAGTTAAGTGAGAAAAAACGATTACTTTACCTTGTTTCTATTGATCTTTTAGCATAGACTGTCACTGATATTACCTATATATTCCTAATTTCTTTTGCTCGTGGCAGCTAGCGTATTTCATTACCAACTAAAGCTTCTTATATTATTTCAAAAGCGTTTCACCCACAAATGCTGGGCCGGCATAAAAATTTTACTACGAATATACAGTATTTTAGAAAAAATAATTTTAGATAAATTAATACGTGATTAAAAAAACGAATGAAATGGTTACACATCAAGCTGATCTGATTAGCTAAACTAATTGCTATAAGCTGCCAAGATAAATCATAGATATACGCAAACATGTATATATATATATATATATATATATATATATATATATATGTTTGTATATATAGATATCCAATCATACACGTATGATTTACGTATGTACGTGTAGGACGGGATATCTATGGATAAATGAAGTCCGAAAACCATGCGTCCTGAGCATAGATGGTCCTGAGTTGTACGAAGGGGGCGCTGCATGCAGTTCGAGAGATCACTTGTTTCATGTGTGTTCGAAAACGAGGCTTACATGCGGCGTTCTTTCTCTGTTCAGCAAAATTTTCTTCGCATCTTTATTCGAGCAATTTAGCGTAATTTACTGCAGTTCAACGGAAATAATTGTCTACACTAGTCAGAAAAATGGCACAGTACATACAGATTGCTGAAGAAGAGAATGAAGAGCCAATTGAGGTGCCGACAGAAGATGACGGCACATTGCTTTTGTCTACGCTCTGTGCCCAATTCCCTGGTTCGTCCGGTCTGAAATATAGGAACCCAGAAACTGGAACTGTTCGAGGAGTACGACTCTTAGATGGACGCTTCCATTCGTCGGAAGGCCTCTGGGGAAACCTCGTCTATGTGGTCGTGTTTCCTAAAGGTAAGAATGGTTATGAATGTTTATTGTTCATGTTTTAGCTTGCCGACAAGTCACCTGCTGAGGCTTACGGACTTGGAATGGTGCCAAGAATTAAGACAAAGGGACGATGACAAGATGAATATATATTGTCGCTGGCGATATATTGTTGCTATAGCACTTATATTGCTATTACTTAGTCGTAGTTTACTGTGTGAAATTGCTTGATTATGAATTCAAAAGTATTTTTCTCAACGGAGTAAATCTGGTTTAATTTTTGCTACTTTGTGTCCACTTTAACTCACATGCTTTTGATGTGGTTTAGACCGAATAATTCTGTCCCATGTAACCTTTTTTATATTTTGGTGAAGGTTATATTGGGACAGAACGGGGCTCATTGAAATTTCGTGAGATCGCATGCAAAATGCATGCGCTGCTAATGCGGCCCGTACGCCGCTATTGGCACGAAAAAAAACCTACCGTTCCCTTCTACATGGCTTTACCTTGCTACTGATATGTGTATACATTCACTTCAATCGTTATTTACTTCTTAAAAGATTGTTTTTCAGAAACCCCGCTTCATTAACTTTAGTAAATTACGTTGGCCATTTACAAACAATCGGACCATTCACAGCGAGTCTATCAGGCCTCCTGCAGCGCCACAGATACAAGCGAGAACCAGGGGCTATTGTAAGACTTGCTCTGATTGGTCTGATTGTTTGTAAATGGCCAACGTAATGGCCAAGGGAACGGTAGGTTTTTTTTCGTGCCAATAGCGGCGTACGGGCCGCATTAGCAGCGCATGTATTTTGCATGCGATCTCACGAAATTTCAATGAACCCCGTTCTGTCCCAATATAACCCTCACCAAAATATAAAAAAGGTTATATGGGACAGAATTATTCGGTCTAGATGTGGTTGTTCTAAATAATAGTCTAAACTCATGCATAGCATTGTGTGGTAAGAAAAGTATGATCATATGATTAATTTGAATTAAGCAAAGACTAATATTTTTACACAGAGTTCAGTTGAAGTTTTTTATCACCAGTCTACCAATATTATAATATTAGTAAAAATAAACAATTGTCATTGTATCTTTATTACAAAATGTTCTAATACAAGTTTATATACATATAATATATATAATGTTTAAAAAATTTCTAGACAACAAGCGTAAAATGGACGATGGGCTTGAAAATTCACTGGCGAAGACAAAAAGACTGGAGAGCAAGTATCGTACAACCCCAAGTGATTTGATTGTCCTGGGCCTTCCATGGAAGTCCAATGAAGAAGATACCAAACAATACTTCGAACAGTTTGGAGAAGTCGTTTTATGCCAGGTATGCTACACCGCGGCATTCCACATGCAGACACGCACGTAATCAAGCGTGTGAAAAAAATTTTTTTAGGTTTGTTTGTTCAGTTGGTTTGCTTTTTGTTTTTGTAACAAAATTGTGTACTAATTTATGCCTGTTTATACTATTAGATCAAAAAGGACTTCAAGACTGGTCAGTCCAAGGGATATGGATTTGTGAGGTTTGCTGACATGGAAGGACAGAACAAGGTTCTGTCACAGAGACATTGTATCGAAGGCCGTTGGTGTGAAGTGAGAATTCCCAACTCAAGGGTAGGTCACATCTGTTATCACAGCTACTGTCATTATGTCAATGTTGAAGTTGTTGCGCAGTAGCTATGTGTAATGATATCAGGTATAATAATGATCCACCATGAGCTATAATCTCGAATGTGAAGCTTGTGGTGAGTAGACTCACCCTTTTCCTGTAGTGTACAACGAATGCTTTTACTCTGTGCATAAGCGAAATGACACATGAAAAAAGATGTCTTGACCTTTGTGCATCACTCCCCCCCCCCCCGTTAAACCGGAATTTATGAGAAAAATGTCCCCCCGTATTCTACGTTGCAGGAGCCGAACTATCCGATCGCTCTGCGCAAGCTGTTCGTCGGGCGGCTGACGGAGGACGTGAGCGCGGAGGACCTCCGCACGTACTTCAGCAAGTTCGACGAGGTGACCGACGTCTTTGTGCCGAAGCCGTTCAGGGGCTTCGCCTTCGTGACGATGGTGCATCCGGAGGTTGCCGCCAAGCTCATCGACGAAGACCACATCATCAAAGGTAGGTGGTGGGTGGGGCCCGCAAATCGGTTGCCGCGGCGACGCACGTTCGTTCGCCGTGTTCTTGACGTCGGTGGTGGTTGTTTGGGCGAGTGGCAGAACCGTTTTTGTTCGTGTATTTTGTTGCGTGGATAGTTTACTTATGCCAGTGTTTTTCTATTTGCCTCAGGTATCAGCGTGCACGTTAGCAGTGCAGAACCGAAGCAGAAGGACAAGGAAAGGTTTGGTGGCGGTGGGGGCAGAGGTAGGTTTGATGACCACAGGGGAGGTTGGCACGACGGCCACCAGGGTGGTGGCATGGGCGGTGGCCAAGGCCAGAACATGGGAATGAACCCGGGCAACAACCCCATGGGCATGAACATGCAGAACATTCTCACTCCCGCCATGTTGGCCGCGGCAACGGCTGCCCTGCAGTCCAACCCATGGGGCCTGCTTGGCATGGCCGCGCAGCAACAGCAGCAGCAGCAGCAGCAGCAGGGTGGGCAGCAAGGTGGGCAGCAAGGTGGGCCGCAGGGGCAGGCTGGGGGGCCTAACCAGGATGGAGCTCATGGTAACTATAGTGGGTCACAGTCTGGGCAGACAGTTAGCAGTGCGGGAGGGCAATCTGGAGCGGCAGGGTATGGAAGTTTTGGGTGGGGTGGACAGGGAGGTGGTGAGCAGCAGAATACGGCTGCTGGGTGGGGCGGTGGAACCAAGCCAGCAGCAAGCTGGAACTAAGAGAAAGAAATGTGAGGTGTGCATGTGTGGCGGTGAGTGTGTGTGCGTGACTGTGTACATGTATAGAATTAGATGCGCTTCTGAGAAAGAGAGAGAGAGAGAGAGAGAGAGAGCACATAGACTTTCTATGACCATCTTTATGTATAAGTCTGATAGAATAATAATCAAGTGGTTGTGCTTGGAGGTTAGAAGTACTGAGTGTGTGGAGTAAGTGTGGCTATTGTAAGGATTTTAACATGATTAAGAAATGGTTCATTCTTTGAAGCCGTGTACATAGTTGTCAAGTGAGGTTAGCGCAGAATGTGTGTTTTACTTACTCTGTTGCACACCTTAGTTTTGAGACTGAATCTTGATATGTGCGTAATTGGGAAAACATCGGACGTTCGTTAGTTATTTATGTTTTGTCTGACACCAAGTCATGATTCGTAGGTGAATGCATTTTTCGAAATTATTTAAAGCACAGTTTATTTTCTCAATTTTAGTTTATATGCTTAATGGATATCAAACCTGTTAATAGCTGGAAAATCTACTATGTCTCCTCTAATTTACTCACATAGTGTTTCTAGTTCAGTGCTGGTGAAGTGGGCCTGTTCAGAGAGAGTGACTGTATGACTTCCTGCATGTTGATTTAATGCTATACGAGAAATGTGTAAGACAATGCAGTGTGGTTAGCAATTTTCCTGTGCATATGTTGCTCATCAACTTGCCGTGTTGACCAATGTTTGATTTGAATTTTTTATTGGGAGTTAGCATGGGGGTCAGATCACAAGGTGTAAATCCGCATGTTGATAAGTAACATGTACACACTTAGTCGTACTATTTCTCTGGATGTCGTTTGTTAGTTAAGGGAATTATCTTGAGTGCGATTCTTTTTTACGTGATTGAGTTGGACTGAGTGACAAAAGTGAATGAATGACCTTTCACTTTCTTTATCTCTCTTTTGTTTAACCTGAACACTAGTGTAGATAGTAGTTCTATCTTTCTTAAATGTCGAGGTGATTCGTGTTAGAGCTGTGACCAAAGGCATGTTGGCCAATTTATACAAACAAAATGATACGGGTCATAAATAAATACAAATTGCAATTTATTACTGAAGTATCAATGCTCATGTATATGATCACTTGATAATTCCACTTGATTTCTGAGATAACTTACATGAACAATTTTGAACATTGATAAATCAGTATAAATTTTAACTTGTGTTTACTTACCGTAATTGTATTTTTGGGAGTGGCCGGAGTGCCTGTGTGGTTGTGATGGCGGTGACAGAGTGTACGGGTACGAAAAGTGAATGCCGCACTGTGAGAGCTGTCGAGCTGTAAGGGACCATAGAGTTGGTTGCGAGTGTGGTGTTATGCGTGTTTTTAGTTTTGACGAGTGAGGGCTGCATTTCACCTGTGATGGCAAATGTTGAGAGCGGGGGGGCCGATATTGAAGTGTGCAGTTAACGAAGCCCCACGTAGTGACAGATTGACAGTGTGCGGTTTGGTGTGGTACGCTTGTGTGGGAAAGATTGGCAGTGAGGTTAATTGAGCTGCTATTAGATGTTTTGACTTAAGTTTTCCTGTGTGAAAGAATCTGTGGTTTGTTGTGTAATTTGCCTGTAATTTTGGTGTGAAATGAATGACTGGCAATAGTGTGTGCGTAATGAGGAGATTATGTACGGATTGCACCAGCGTAAGTTGTAGGCAGTAATTAAATGCTGGAATGCAGGTGATGATGGATTGTGTGTGATGTACGTATGTTGTGTTGGACCTAATAAAAGAACATTTCGAATGGAACTACTGACGTATGTGTGGTTGCGTTTTTGTGTGAGGCTCTTGCGGGCGCGTGCGCGTGCGTTTACTTCTTGGAGCGATCTTGAGGAGACTGAGATATCTGGTCGTGCGAACCTGAGTGATATGGCTGTGAATGTGAGTATCGTTTGCACAAGTCGCTGGCGTTGCAGTGCGAGTGACTTTGGGTGTTAGCAGTATGCGTATCGTGGAGTGCTAGTTTCCACAGTCATGCTGCCAAGTGTCTTGGCGGATTCACACGAGTGTGGTCTGGTGTAAACGTACGTACACTAACACTCAGCGGGATACCAAAAAAATTTACCCTGAAGTTGTTTCCTTCTCAGTTTACACTTGGTAAACACCAGACCTAAACATAAGCCAGACCAATTATTTTCCATCGGGGTTTGACTATCCGAAGGCCATTGCGTATAGTTGTGTGTATGCACAAATGATCCTTCGTGTTGTCAGGGACACTGCACCTGCAGCAGTAGTCCATGGCAGATACGTAAGCTACTCCATGATGCGTGTATTGCAAAGGTGTGTGATTGATGCATGTCCAATTTGAATTTTCTTTTTTTGTGACTCGCGTGGTGTGACGTGAACATGGTCAACCAAGTAAGTACATTTGTTTCAGTGCCCCATGTACAGATAGAACGACGAAGCCAGTGATAGGTATGTAAAAGGTTGCATTTTACTATGACTAAGAAAGGTAAGTACATATTAAGAGGGAAGTATTTGCTGTTGAAACATCGTGGATCTCTCAAGTCTTATTGATGTCATAAAAAGGTGTTTTCTATCACCTTTTTTTCGATCTTGTCAATTGTGACATGTTCAGCATGGTTTAATAAATGTCTTTAATAGAAATTCATTGTATTTGGTTGTATTTGGTGTTGTCATGGTCAAATGTTAATATTAACAATGAAAATGACCAGTAAAATACGCTGACATAGTTACTTAGAATCAACTTCATGAAATTTTTTATCACCATGTATTTGAGGTTTAAAATGATAAATTTTTGGCAGAATAATGGCAATTTCAAATGTGGATGCAAACACTTCAAGCAAGCAATTGTAGTTGCATGTTAACATAACAATGAAAAACAGACCATCTATATATATATGCCTATTATAAACTTAACACTTTCAAATAAATTTGGACAAAAACTAATGATTCCATTAAGGATACTCTCCACGTTGTGAATGAAATTTCATCGATTTTTGGTTTTTAACTTTATTCGATGGCTAACACTATGTGCATGTTCATTTCTCCATATAACATTACATGTGACGAGAGCGTCAGAGCGTTTTTGCTTGCCTGCGTACATGTGTAGTAAGCAGCGGCTGACGTCATTATTACGTCAGACACATGATACAACAGCATTTCCACGATATTCACTGAGCCAGTATCCATCAACATCAGGAGTAGATAATAGGGAATTCCCTATTATCTACTCCTGATCAACATCAACCCTGCTACAGCTGTACTACTACCCTGATCCAATAAGTATCCCACAAGAGCCTAAAATAGTTCTCACACCTCGCAACGCACCTTACATAAGGCGCGCGTTTGTTGACAGTGACGTCAGGGTTCGCGCCATTTGCATGAATTTGCGTTGGTCACCTCGGAATTTCTCAGAATTTCTCAAGGTGCATGGAACATTTTACCAATTTAGTGGTGTCAGTTAGTCATGGATATGTCGCAGTAAGTACTAACAATAGGTATATCACATACGTTCACCCATTTTGCACACAGGCGGTCACTCATTGTGGAAAATAAAAAACGCTTATTTCTCCGTTTCGATTTCTGACATAGTAGCCGATGTATAAATGGATATTTCTCTGTGATTAAAACTCGGATTAATTTAATTTTAAGTGCGTCAGGGATTGTTATTAAGTGCCGTACTTTATTAGTTACTAGCTGCGGGTACCCGCTGCGCTGGGTAAAATCGTGCTACTAATTCATACTACTAATAATGGGACACAATAGGAACATTGGGTAAAAATCGACAATAACATTGCACACAATATCAATATTTAGAAATCAGTCTAATAAGATAATAAGCATGGGAAAAAACTGTTACGTATGACATTTATATGACAGCACAACCCAACTTAGAACCCCTGGGACATAATAGTAATATGGTGTAAATAACAAAAAGTTATTATTATATAACAGCATGTACGAATGGGTTGGACTTTTCATTTCAAAGCCTCTTGATAAACAATGTTTTTCGTGTTATTCTCTGGTGGAAATATGTAGAGATTCCTGGCGTATCGAACTGTTGAGCTCCCCACGTACAGCTATACATTGTGAGATCGTACCACGAATAAAAGAAATTCCATATATATTAGATAGAGACAGGCCAGCGAGTGGGGTCTGTGTCCACTGGATATTGTCTAGTGAATGCTTGGCGCGCAACCATGCACATTGTAATTAAGAAATTTTTGTATTGAATCAGAAAATGCATAGCTTTGGAATGGTACAATGCATTCTGAGATCGCAGCAACTGAAACTCAGCTCTGAACTCGGAGTGAGTAGTACCTCTGAACTGGTCCTGGTTATGCTCTGTTTTAGTATTGATTTCGGTTTCGTTTCGCTTTCACAATACCAGGCAGCTGATGAGATACATGTAGGTGAGGGCAAAGAAATACTCATAGGTTTCTGATTTCTGTGGCAGCACTGTGCAGGAGTGACTGAATTGTCTGTGAAGATTTGAGAAATTAAACTGGTTTCACGGATTTTCTTCCGGTGATTGACGGTTGTGACAGAGTTTTTTGGACAGTGACAGCGAACACTCCGCGCGGGTATAACAGATGGCAGGCCAGCGAGTGCGGAAAAATTTTGAATTATAAAGAATGTTTACTCACTATGTTACGCGTTTTAGCTAACCTCAGGTGTAGTCAGGTAACTTCTTACGAGTGCCTAACCTCTAACTGGTTGCCTCTGGTCTTGCTTTCTGCCTTTAACTGGGTTTGACTTGGTGTGGTTAGTTTTAGTTATTGGTTTTCGGGTTTCACATATTCCAGAGCTGTCCGTGAGGTGAGGGAAATGAAATTACTCATCTCCTGGTTGTGCTGTGTTTAGTAAATTGCTTCGGTTTCAGAATACCCAGCAATGATGCAGGGGTTTTCACAGGATTTTTGTGTGAGTTTGACGGTTTGCAGGGTTTTTTTCAGCTACGAACACTCCCCGGTATAAGAGATGGCCCTGTGAAAATTGCATCCAGATCGCTTGGGCGGTTTGCCGCCTATAGGGAAGATACATACATACGAACTCAAATATATATTAGATAGAAGTGCAGTGCGTCGACTGTAATGCATATAGGCCATCAGCTTTTAAGTATAAATTCTGTATATTATTTCAGAACGGTACAAATATATACAATGTTCTTCACATCATGTTGGGGCATGAAGTATCCGCGCCAGACGGATGTGGTATTTGGGCCCTTTTCGCTTTGGCTCTATCGTAAGGCCTCATGCTAATGCTCTGGTGAGATGAGACTCTCTGTACGCTCATATACCTCAATCTTATAACCGTCTCTAAAGTGAAACCTCACTGTGGTCTCAACGTGGTCTGCTTAGAGTACGGGCATGCTGAGCTTTTGCATTTTCATATATGCTTTTCTCTCTC